TCTCAATTTTGTTTGTTGCCCCTTTCCTTTCTGTTTTTCTCGGCCCTTTTACACTGGCTACCTTTTGCGTAGTGGACTATTTTACCACCGTTTTTGCACCAAAACTGATAACGTTGTTTTTCGGTTTGCGACGTCGGAATGTCGTCAATATCTAAACCTGACCATTGTACGGAAAGGCCTCGCCTAGCACTACTATCTGCTCGTGAAGAATATCTGATGACATTTGAATTGATGACGTCACAAGTGGTACAAAGAGCACGACCATTAATTACGTATATATGCGTAGTTGGTATTCAAAGGGTTAAAGGTCCCTGCATGAAGTAAACATCTGAAGTGAAACTGAAACGGGTTTGTAAAAGAACGTAATGAGGGCCAAGATTTAGAAATCCGTGTGGTACACTCTCACCAAATATCCAAAGAGTACCCCACCCTCGGGAAAACTGCTCTCGAATGTCATGGGTGAGCGTTGAAAACAAATTGTTGAGGTTCACTTCACTGAGATGACCGGAGATCGCTATTAAGCAAACATGTAAGTTTTCCTTGAGCATTTTTACAAAAATAAAGCTTTTCATCATAAACAGAGAAAACTCAATTGGTGTTTTCTGACGTTGTTTTACCTCTTAAGTATAATTCTGCCTTCGTAAAAAATTTGATGTCTTTTATCGAAGCATTCGCTAGGTTGAGAATTTGTTTACTTCATTACTTGTTTTGTCGGAATCTGTCACACTTGTTACTTTAGTACAGTTTTAACACTACTGTTGTTAACAACGGTCTCCGTGCAGCCATATTTACTGCAGACAAATAGCTCGTTTCCATTTCGTTTGTCTGAGTCACAGGAGATGTTTAAATTGGGTCAAATTTGTCAAAATTGCAAAGCAAAAATTTGAAAGCCCGCTTACCGTCATCAACTCGTGCATCTGTTCTCTGATAAATCACGCTGTTGCAGCCGATCAGAGCGCGCCTTATATGAAAACTTTATTATAATATAATACATATCTCTAGTTTTCTACCTTTGTAAACATTTATATGATGATGATCGCGTAGAGCGTTCAACTCTTGAAACTGTCGTTTTAATCATAACGGTCGTATAGAACATTTTGTTAGTTAACGTTCCAAGCCCCGGTTTAAATCAGTCCTTATTCGACACGCTAGCAATGTAAATGAATATATGAAAGATCATATATTTGAACTGCGGAGAAAGATATGAAGATATGATTGATCATCGCAGTTATGCATATCTTTAT